CATCTTTATAATAAAAACATCCAAAATAGTAAAACACTGATAAAATTGTCATAATCACAACACATAACTATAATTAATATCATTCAGATCTCATCTGAGATATTCCCAGGAACAGTAAAACCAGCGTACATTATGTATCAAACAGCATATGTTTCAAATTGGCCAGGAATTTTAGATTCTGAATATAAGGATTCAAATCCACCTGAGCTGAGGTGATTCCTGAGGAGACCTGATAGGTATACTTCTTCTTTTCGTTTCATTTGGCCTGATTTCTTGAAGTTTTTATATTCGTTTAATTTTGCAACATTTCATCAGGATTTTTTTTTAAAAGCAGGCGTCAGCCTTCAGGACTATCCGACACAAGTACATTTGACTTTGACATACACTTCACGCTCTAGTGACGCCAACTAGTGAGTCTGAATATGTTACTTTTGCCCATTTCAACCAAATTTTGTGTTTTTTGTTAGGAGTATATGAGATCGACTGCTTTTCATAGTGTAGTGTAGCAGAGGCTCATCTCATTAAATATTGAAGGTAAAAATCATTGTGTGCGACTATGTTTTGGGTTCGATATTTTTATTAAATTGAGCCATTGAAAATACAATTTTTTTGTTTGACTTCGAACTCCAATGTAGGTGCACTGTGTCCATATAAATTGAACCCCTCCCTATTCAACTTCTGAACGGCTGGAGTGGAAAAATGGGGTCTGGACGCCATTTTGATAGATTTTTTAAAATGGCATTTGGGATGGTGGGTCTAGTGATACCTGATTAGAAACGTCTTTCAATTCTCTATACGACACAAGAATTTCAGAGAAAAAGTTTCATCCAAAACTAAATGATAGTGTTTGAAACGTTATACCAGGATTCTTTTTACTAGATGGATAATGAGGTATTCTCGTTTAACCTTCCTCTCTATTGACATCTAGACAAGTTCTCTATATAGAAGAAAGTCAAAAGGGAGCCATCTTGAAGAATTGAAGATATATTTCCGCAATTTTCATATTTTCTTCTGTTTATTGTTGTTTGCTTCAAGCTGGCTCTCTTTACTATTACAAAACTTTTATAGTGCATGTGATAATTTAGCATACTTCAAATCGCACCGCATCTATACTCTGAATACTACAGCACATCGAAAAATAAGCCATAACAAAACTTTTACAGGTTTCTGGCACAAACTCTTCAGCTTACTGATTTTAATTATTACGAATGTCATCCCGAGAAATGTGTTGTGAAGTACTACGAAAGTCTATGACATTTCATGTGATATGAAAATGTTTTATCACCATAGCCAAAACCTAAATGATTAGTCTGAAATTCCGCCCATGTGCAAGATCAGGTGAATTTGAATTATAGCAGGACACCCAGTTTGATGAGAGCAAATTATGCGACTGAAAATATGAACGATTCACTGGCCAACTGATACTTTCATGTTGCATCCATTATACATTTTTTTGATAATATTGGCTATAAAAGAATGATATGCAGCTGGTATTACCCTGAAATTCCTCATTCATATCAATCAATGTACGTCAATCGTATAACTAGGTAAAATTTATACTTTATGGTCAATCAGAAAATAGGTGCTCAACTTCGACATCCTAGCAGTATGAATAAACATCCATAAATATTGAACCACAAGGTCATAAAATATGTGGAATGACCTACCTAATACTATCAACATATTCAGAATGAAATAAAATATCACAAAATCCGTACTTGTACTAGTTATTGTCATCATTTTCACTCAATTCAATTATTGTCTCAGTAGAATCAATATGGCTGCGTTCATAAAATCACTCCTGTGAGTAGAGTAAAAGTATGGTCACGTGATCAGAAATATATCGCTGTAGGTTACTCAGAGTAGCAGTTCAAAAACTCTTATGTGATGGTATGCGAGATAACAAATGTCAAACTAACAGGTTTTAAGGTTTCCTTTCATGAGGCTAATTATATCATTATGATATGGAATACCAGGTACGATATATATTCGAATACTGCTACTTGGTCGGCAAACCAAACCACCAATTTAATAAAAACTGTATCCCTGCCAGTTCATACCAGACTGAAGACTATGTTATCCACATGGATGTGGGTTTTACATAAAATCGATCAGATATTGATTCAAGACATAAATAAACACCGATGAACAAAATTTGACAACTGTCGAAGTACATCATTACTCTATTCAAATGCAGGGTAAGCAGATAGTAAGTTTCTCAAACGGTATGATCCAAGTTATTTCGAATACACGGAAAATTCTAATCCAAGGTAAATGCATTTAACATATTATATACTACTCATTATTTTAAAAACTAACAGACAATGTTCATTCTATCTAATTAAACATTTTACACATAATCTACATTTCACAGAAACAATCTAATAAATATATTATGGATGTGGGAGGAAATGATAACACTATATTTCTATAGAATACTAAATGAGTAAAACAATAATTCGGATTTTTAAAAATAATTATCCTTGCTGAAAACAACTACTTAGATTTAAAATACATATAATTCCAAATTCATAATTCAACAGTAAGTAGATTGAGAATTTACAGGAATGTATAAATATGTTTGAGAATAAATCGATAATTTCAGTAGTTATACTTATTGTCTCCTAAATCATCCGCCATAGATCAATAGGTGATAGTGATCAGATTAAGACGACTGTATTAATCAAGGAATATGTGGTGAGCGCCCACTAGAAATTAGTCTGTAACTAATACCAATTTCGAATTTCTCACTTTGAAGAACCCAACAAATTTAATTTTGAATATGTTATCTTCAACCGTTTTGAAATTATTATAATTGTTCGATAATGAATTAATCACTTATATTTTCCAACAAATAATATAACATATCTACTTAATCATCACCTAATAACATCAGCTACTCTATGGCGGAAAGTTATGTGACACCCTGTAATTGTAAAACCTATCAGCGGTGGTGTCATTTTCAAGACGGAATATATCACAGGTTAGGTAAAGATAGTATAGAAGTAAAAGGGAATACTGAGATTAAAATCAGCTAAAACCATGCTAGTTCTGCCAGTATGAGGAATGCAAATGAAGGAAAGTAAAGAACTGTAAAGAACTTTCAATTGAAATGCCGGAAAAGATGTATTTCTGAAGTCATCTAATTCAAACGATATTCTCAATTGACAAAAACCGAAAATATACTAGTATTGAAATTAATGACACAATTGACTATTCTAATGGTAAAAAGTCATTGATGTTCAGAGCAAAAGCATTAGAAATCAATAGCAATAAATTCAAAAGTTATGTTGAATGAGAATCAATATGTTGATATCATGATGGTACATATTGTAAACATTTAATTATAGACGGAAAAAAGAAAGACATCATTCAGCCCAAACTTGTAGCTAAATCCTGAGGTATGAATAGTAAATTGATAAAACAACCATACTTGTGAATAAGTCGGACTTCTTAAAATGAGCTAAGGAACCATATCCTATATTTCAAGAAATCAATTAAATTACACCCTGTATATCCCAAGAAGGAATGAAGAATTCGCCTTTGCTATGCAGCCACCTTATATCAGTATCTGTCTGATTTTTTGATTAGAATGTAAGTAAGTGTTTGCAGCAATAAAAGCCAATCATAATAATAATTATTATTGTTGTTGTTGATCGACTCGGCCGTTACCTGATGGAAATTGTAAAATCTTCGAGAACATGACATGTTTTGCCAACACAATAGTTTCTGCAAATACAGTAACAGCGAATTCCATTGGTACAACTGATTTTGTGCCAGTTTTGGACTAGTGTTGCCTTAAAACTGCACTAATTTTTCTCCGAAAAAGAAACTAGTGCATTCCCAATGTAATAAAAAACTTTCCGTTTGCATATCCAAGGGTTGAGATGATTTCCATTCTTTAAAGTTCAGTAAATCCACGATAAACTATTGCACTATTGTCGCTTTTCAAATATAGCAAAATGTACCCGATGACAAATTTTGTATTTCTATTTTTTTTATGTGAATTTTGACTGTATACCTTCAAGAGACCTATTCAGTACAATGATGGTATGTGTGCCGATACCAGATACCGTTAATTGCTTTTTACATAAAGTATGGTCAACTGACTTTGAGTTATTGTGTTTGATTGAAAATAAATTAATCCACTTCAAGTAAGCATTGACTATGTAGATGGAAAGAAAGTGATCAATCTACCAGATGTATCTATTAAAAGTAAATGAAGGAGAATAATTTAGATCTACGAGTAAGTGAGTATTAGTCTTAAATCTGTCTATTCTGATATTCTACAGATAATAATGGATTCAATCCAAACAAAAAATGAATATTGGTTTGATTTCTATTTGGGACTTACTAAAACAAATGAGTATTGATATTTCATCAAAAACTATTGATTTCTATGATTTTGTATATATCCTTACTCCTTCTCGAAGGCAATATAAAAAAACACTACTAAAAATAATCAATCACAACTCATTATGAATCCGCCGAATTTACAAAGGCATTGGCTTCCAACGACCTCTTACTATATGCACCAGATACCCAATGGTACAAACAACCCTCTACTGTTTTTTCTATAAGACAAACTATGCACTCAGCATGCACCAGTATTACCAAAAGAATTCCCTACAATACTGGTTTAGTGAAACTACTGATGAGGGTTCACAACCCGAACCAGTATTTGCATCAGTGGATGATCTAATGTTTTAATTAATAAATTAATCCTAGAATCTCTTAGTTGTGAGAATCTAGTTAGCAAATAACTATATTTCTATTCAAAATAGGGATCTTGAGGGTTATGACTCCAATTTTCTAACTGTGATGCCATTCTCAGATCAATCAGATCATATAAATCGATATGATGTGAAATTATTAACAATGGATGCTCTAAAAATGGCATAGCAACAAGATGATTAATTGCTAGTTAATAAATGGAATGATTAAGTGTTTACCAAAATACTGTCTTCGATTACAGCCAGATTTTTTGAAGCAAACCAAAGTTACTTCTGCTTTATCTCAATCAAATTATTATCCAATTCCGGCCTAAAACTCAAAAGTTCAGCATACCTGCTCAGCAGTCGTTCCCAGTAACAACTGACATGCGACAACTTCAGACTGTTCCATATTGCCTTATACCCGTTCTCGGCAATCTCTCTCGCCATATCGTCGTGATTCATAGCAAACTCCACCAACTCCCGGATGCTCTCTTTGCTGGCGTTCGCATCGACAGGAATATAATGGATCCAAGGCTTCAAGGCTGAGTAGAAGAACTCCTGCCATTCGTTGCCGACGTGGAAAACCAGGGACTTGCAGAGGAGGATGTGTTTGAAGCGGAAGCTAGCCGCGACCCCACGGAAATTGAAAAGATACTTGTATTTGCAGTGTTCCTCGAATGGCACTTCTTCGGCTGGAGGGGCATGTAGAGTGTCCTTTGAATAAACGATGATTGATGAAACTCGAAATCGTCACGGCAACATTATAAAGGTTGAAGATAATGAGAGAGAGAAAGAGAGAGAGAGAGAGAATATGCTTTATTGTCTAAATACGTAAAATCTTATTGACAAAGTAAGTCAAAATAATAACCTTAAAAAAATAAAAATCAAAACTAGAACTAGAGGAAATCGCTATTATAACACCACAACATTTTAAAATCTATTTGAAATTTAAACACTCTTATATGCTTGTTCATAAGAGACACATTAGTACTTATTAAAATATTCTTTTGAAAATGATTTTATGGTTAAAATGTATCATTGAAAAACTATTATAGGGTTTATCCGAAAAGAGTGTTTTCATTTTCTGTTTGAAATAGTCGATCAAAGTTTGATAGATATAAGAAGCCGGTGAAGCTCAACGAATGTGTGGAATATAGTGGCAGGAACTTTTGAATTTCTTGTACAAATTTTAATTTACTGGACGCTTTTGACTTTCATCATACTCAGCTCTGACTGCATGTGAATATTATTATGGAATCCCACCGATTGTTCTCAAGGTGCTCCCGAACTAACACCTGTTCTCTGCAAGTTGTTCAACTACTCTTACAAATTGGGAATATTTCCGTCCAACTGGAAAATTGCAAGAGTACAACCATTTCCTAAAAAAGGCAAAATGACCCTACCTAGCAACTACAGACTGATCGCACTGCTATCTATTATTTCAAATATCATGAAGAAAGCTATCAACATCGAGCTCATGAAATACCTGGAACATTCAGGTATTATCAACGATAGGCAATATGGCTTCCGTCATCAGAGATCAACTGGTGACCTGCTCGCTTACGTCTCATATATATGGCAGCAATCTATTGAAAAATATGGTGAAACCTTAGCCGTGGCACTGGATATCTCCAAGGCATTCGATCGAGTCTGGCACCACAGACTCCTCGCCAAGCTTCCATCTTATGGCTTGCCTCCCCAGCTATGTTCTCTGCTAGCTAGTTTTCTCTCAGACAGGTCTCTCCATGTAGTGGTCGACGGAGTTTCATCTGACTCTCTTATCATAAATGCTGGTGTTCCGCAAGGATGAATTCTAGCACCAACCCAACACTCTTTCTACTCCATATCAACGATTTGTTGGAAGCAACTTCATGTCAAGTACACAGCTTCGCGATAGTACCCTCCATACCGCTTTCTCTTTCAAAGCTCCAATACCAGCCAAACAAATCAGAAACGAACAAGGGAGAAGTGTTGGCAACATAAATATGGACTTGGCAACAATTCTCGAATGGGGATCCAATAACTTGGTAGATTTCAATGCAAACAAAACACGAGCAAGCCTTTCCTCTACAAAAGCCAATCTCACTGTGTCCAACATAAGCTTGTCAAGAGTAACCATACCTTTGAAGACATCTTGGCTTGGTATTACTATCAGCAATAACCTTTCATGGGAAAATCACGTGAGATCAATTGCTAAAAGTGCATCCCAAAAACTTGGTTTTCTGTTTCGGGCCAGGAGCTATTTCACTTCCAGTCAGCTGCTTATGATCTATAAGGCACAGATCCGACCTTAGCTGGAATACTGTTCCCATAATGTAGCACCCAAAAATAGCCTGAAACTGTTGGATTCTGTCCAAAAAAGGCGATCTGGCTCTATTTTATAGATATTTTCATGGACGATGCTCTTCTGAAATATCAACAATTGATCCTCCCTTGACAGTCCCCGCGAGATTAACCCGTCGAGTTGAGGCTTCGCACCTCCTTCGTGGTCACTTTGGAGACCTGCAGAACATCTCTTTCCAAAGACTCGTTGATCCAACGAACAGCGAGGCCCTGGAACACATTGCCAATGAAGGTGTTCCCCGAGGCATATAACCTCCAGAAATTTAAGAAGAAGACCAATTCCTACCTTATTTCCCTTGGTTCTCATGATGTTCTCTGAACATTACAGGATATCCCTTTTCGTGGGAACCAGAACATAAAAAAAAATCAATAATTATAAATGCCCAATGTGGTTATGTTCGAAGCGGAAACTAGCCGCGACCCCACGGAAATTGAAGAGATACGTGTACTTGCAGTGCTCCTCAAACGGCACTTCTTGGGCTGGAGGTGCATGTGTGCCCTTTGAGTTTCCCAATTTTAACGATAATATCATCTTTTCCGACCCCGAAAACCCCTGCTATAAATCAGGAAATACCATCTTCAAGAGCATCCATTATAGAGGCCGTAGCTATCGACTAATGATCAATCAACATATTTTTAACTTTTGGTCTTAGAAGCTGATGGAGAAGTTTGGCAGGCTAAATGAAGGACATCCGGCAAACTGTTGTAAGGAATTTCAGTCTTCTTAGGCTGAAAAAGCTTTAACAAGTACCCTCTCAAGTAACAGAAGTGGTTTAGTCTGGCAATATTGTGATAGTTTGTTGACAAATTTATTGAAAACAAACTATGAAGTTCAGGGCCACATTTTGATTGTAGAACCATTTTATGATTGTTGAAAGTCTTGAGATGCCTAAACTGAGATATTGCGTGAATTATTCTAAGTAGTCTTGTCTCAAGTGATTTTCAGGATATCGTGAAATTATTATTTTCTCAATTCAGAATTTTCTTTTCACGTTCTGTATGATGAATATCAAGTTGTCATACATCCAAAAACAAACACCAATGTGTTCCAATGTGTAATAGATATTCTTACTCGTTTTAGCTTTAGTAACTTGGTTGTTTAGATCACCAATGAATTGTTGTGAGAAACTATCGAAAAATATTCTTCTCTGCTAACCCACTGAAAAACTCATATGAAACAGCGATACAAAGAGTAATTCCACTGCAACTTAATTAGAGTACTTGCTCTGTAAGTATGCTATTTTGCCTTCAGCCTAGAGACTTTTCAAATTGTAAAACTCATTTCATACACAAAAACCAATAACCTCCGAAAGTTAAAAAACAAAACAAAAGCTACTATCTCCTATTCTACTCAAATTATGCGCGTTTTTCCACAAACATGACAGGAATTACATTCTGTGTGATCCAAGATAAATTGAATTGAGTACTGATGGAAAATTGCTCATTTGCTGATCTGCCTCAGCATGTTCAGTCAAGAGGGTGGTTTGTAATGAAGATCACTAAATTATAACTCACTGCATCAGACTTCCATGCTTGGTTTTTTGTGTACTGGGCATCAGCGATATCTGGATTCTCTCTAGATAGTAATATGAGTGGATCCCTTTCAGAGCTTGTCCTTGATCCTCTAAAGAATGCCTTTGGTACTTTGGCTGACCATGAAGTTGAATTTCCTAGTTTACCCAATTTGTTCCTGTGACTGTCCCAGCGACCTATGTAAAATGAAATGAGAAACAAATAATTTTCAGAAGTGCAAAGCATGACATACCTACTCCATATAATGGTATATTACTCAGGAGTCAAATTAATATAGTTTCTGCACTTTTGGAAAAATTGTCACAATAATTGGCAATAAAACAAAATCACCTGTTACTACTGAAATCGAAAAATTTTTCATACAATGCAAATTTGATTTTACTGTTAATAATTATTACCCAATGCACTCTTTTAAAAATTGTAAGAAACTATATATGGTCTGATTCGAACATGACGTACTACTACGAACCGTTTACTCCTCAGATTACTGACATATGTTTTAATGAGTATGGAAATTCAAGATATTTCATAAACGCAAAAATGTCCGTGACCAAGTTGGAAATAAACAAGGAACTACCGGGAATTTGAGTTAAGTTGGCCTTTCACATTCTTGTAGTCAATTTGCCAGTGGAGCAAATAGATATTGGGCCTTCATCGTTCCATTGACTTTGGTGTTGACAGGGAAAGACAACAACTTTGTTTACTCAATCTTTAAGAAGGCTAATGCTGGGCATTCAACCATGCCTATATAATCCACATAAATTTTGCTCAAGAGTAAAGTAGCTTAATTTTTTACAATATCTATAGAAAATCATTATTGAATAAAGTTGACATGAATTAAAAACTTCGTTCAAATATCTAATAACATTTATTGTCCACGATAAAAATCTGGTTTTATTATTTTTTACAAATTGGTGTATATGACTAAAAAAGAATATATATCTGATGTCTGCATCTTGGTTTTCGACCTAGCAGAACTTCTTATGAACAATGTTTTTTTCCTAGATTTCTCCGTAAAATTAATAATAAAAAGTTTGAACGTAGTTTTCAACTCTAGTCAACTTTTCTATATGATAATTTGCGATGTTGTCGAAAATAAAGGTACTTTACTCTTGAGAAAAATGTATATTTTTTGACATACTTCGTATACGACTGGAAAAATCCGATATCTGATATCCGCGTTATTAGTTGATGGTTACCAACTTTTTCAGACATACTGTATACTTTTCTAGAACAATCCAATATTTTCCGAATGGAATTATATAATGATCCATTTCTCTCAGAATATCAATGTATTAGTTGAAATATTATTGTCAAAATATATTAGTTTGAAATATTCTCTTATCCGTTTCGATCCGTTTACATCTCACCGATAGTGACTTCATGAGTTCAGATACTAATACGAGTAGCTAGTCATGTTCTGATAGAGATTAGAGTTCCAACGATATAGCCGTTGCTATACCTGGGAGTCAAGTTGGACATCCGTATGAGTCTCAGGAAAAACATCAGCTACCTGATCCAAAAAACGCAGTCTGCGATTAAAAAGATGTATCACTTGTTATCCAGGACCTCCCCTCTCTCGTTGGAGAACAAGGTCCTGGTGCAAAAGCAGAATATCAGGCCTGTGATGACATACGCGTGTCCGGTGTACTGCAGCATCCCACCCACTCAGATGAATAGCTTACAGGTGCTGCAGAACAATAAAGTACTCCGTATTATCACCAACGGTGATAGATACTCTCGAGTGGCAGATCTGCACGATATATGCATCAACCGATGTTTTTAGGGAACCTGAAAATCTTCTTCGGAAAATCTTCCTGGATTCTCGGACATGTCTGAGACACCGGGGAGGATCTTGACAACACTATCTCCCAATCAAGAAAATAAAATAGTGTCATGGCTCACGAGCAAACCCGACAGTGAACTCGGACAGATGTACAAACGCGGAAACGTGGATGTCCATCGGTCCGCGAGCCAAACTAGAAGGAGGTTTTTTGTTGTTTCTAAATTAAATTTTTTCCTCCCAAAACCGGAAATACTCCCTGCACTGATCACGTATGAGCGACTCCCCCGCCCCTCTGGGTACCCATAGCGAGATTACCTATATAAAGGGCCTAGCCCTAGGAGATGGGTCTCTGTGACAAACACTTCACAAATCCTCTCACATCCCCTGGCCAACAGCAGCCACCTCTGCGCTACGCGGAGGGACATCTAGGGGCACACGATGCACCAAGTCATATATGTAATGTTGTGTTAGAAAATTTGTGTTGTGATGTAACTTGTCAGAGAAAATAAATGACTTTAATACGTTGCAACAATACGACTGAATGGATAGGACACCTGAAGAATGGACCATCAGCGCTACCAAGTCACGACAATGTATGAGTTATCCTTCAAAATGAAGATCTTATCACAATCTTATCATCCATTTTTTTTTTTGTATTTTATTGATCATTCCGAGGATCATTCTTATGCCAGTATGGGGATTCGAAAGCTCATCAATGGAATGAATGCCGGCTGGATGACCGTCGGGAAATCTGGAGTGTCCTTTCCTTGATGGCCCCGTACCAAATAAGCTAGTAATGTATCGTGCCTTCATTTAACCGCGAATGAATGCTTGTTGGGATAGTATGGTGTGGAATCTTTGTGGACGTCAAATAACATTCAATTCCAAGTTCAATTCCATTGGCTATCAACAGAGATGATGGAATTTTATGCAAATTTGTAAGAGAATGTTCAATGAGAAAAGTAAAAATAAAATGAAAAAGATGGATATAACAATAATCCCAACATAAAGCTGCTGTCATTGGGGATTCACGTTGTGAAGGGATTGTAGCTTCTCCAGTAAGGTTTCTACATTATAGCAGCGCCTCTTGTGCATATTAAGGTTTCACTTCATAGCATTATATTTGTTCAAGTGTGAATTTCTTAGCTGGGTAGGTTCTATAGGCACTTCTATTGGTATGGTATTTGCTGGGATATTTGTGAGCTGGTGTAGTAAATGATGAGAGAGATTGGGGAGAGATTAGGATGCCTGATCCTGGTGATTTTTCAAATAGATATAGTTTCAGCAACTTCAAGTATATGTAAACATAGATCAATGTTTTATTTTGAAAAATGAAGTCCTTCTGTCATTGTTATAATTGGAGTAGTTACAAGTACTACATAGTTGGTTATTTTATCACTTTCTTTTGAAACAATAAAACAACTTGGGAACAATTCCTCTAAGTCTCCGTATCTATGGATGAGAAACTGAAGGACACACTGTAGTCCCAAGAGTGCAAAAACTTTACATGAAAAATGCTTTGTAAACTCACCAATTCCTCTTGGATATAAACTGATAGCTGGCCCTCCTTCCCAAAATGCCCAAGCTGGATACATGATATCTTGATATTCAGGAGTCTTGCTGAAAGAAAAAACAGGGCCAAAAGCCCCATAATTTTTATGGATTTGTGGCCAGTCCCTGGTGTTGATAATGAGCTCTAGATCAGGAAGCTTGGGCAATAGTTCAAGTAGAAAATGTTCTATTCCAGCACATCTGGCTGGAAACATGCAGTTCTTGTCCCTATATAATCTGTTAGATATCACCTGGTACTTGGTTCCTCTGGAAATTTAAAGAAGAGAGCTTTTGAAATTTCATGTCCAGAGGTATCCATTGGAGATTAGTCCTATAACATGGTTCTGCCGATTTAATGGGGACAGTATTGCTATTTCCCAAACAGTAAGAGATTGAAAGTTGACCAAATTAGACAAAAGTTGCCTGATTTGAATATCTTCAATACAATGTTTTGCAATTTTGAAAAATGTCAGCCGTTCCTGAAATATTTTGAAAAAACTGAATATCACTGATTACCTTTTTTTATAACAGATATTTACATGTTCTTTGAATCCATATTATATTCTTTTTGAGTTTTTATGATATCTAGTGAAATTTACTAAAAAAAAAATTGAAAATAAGTTTTTTGATTCTGAAAAATGTTTTTTCTGGCACTTGGATCACATTGCCCCGACACTCTTCAATTTATGTCAGATCCATCGCGATAGCTGTTTATTCACAAAAACCCGGATTTTTATTCCGTGCGAAAATCAACTTTACACCTCAACATCTTCCCACAATCTACAAAACACAGATACCACAAGTTTAAGAATACTGTTCTCACATATATGGGGTTCAACACCCAAACATACGCTGATGCTCTGCTTAGATTCCATCCAGAGAAAAGCTATCCGTCCTCGCAACCGCCTGGTGGGTGATGCCACACTCACTAATACTTCGACTTCATTAGAACACCATGGAAAAGTCGGCGGGAACGTCTCATTTGACCCAATTTTTTCGATTCGCCCAATTTTCGGTTCACCCAATTTTCGATTCATCCACCGTCTCCGAACATGCCCGAAAGATGCGTTGTTGTCAAATAATGCCTCATTTCCTCGGATTCAATGAAACTGGAATTATCAACCATCATTTCAAATTCAAATATGTCGTTGGGCCTACATTTCGTTTCACCCAATTTTCGATTCGCCCAATTTTCGATTTACCCAATTTTCGATTTCCCCAATTTTCGATTTCCCCAATTTTCGATTCACCCATTTTCGATTCACCCAATTTTCAATTCGCCCAATTTTCGATTCATCCAATTTTCAATTGTTGAAAAATAAATATACATTCTAGGATGAGGGTTCATTTGAACGTGTCAAGTTAGATTATTTAAACAAACTCCTCTCATTTGTTCTTTCAAGTAATTTTCCGAAAAATATACCTTTAAGGAAGGGTCATTTAGGTAGAGTAAGGTTAGATTATTCACTTAGGCCGAGAACGGTTAGATTGTTTCAAAAAAGAAGTCTCTCATGTTCTATGTTCTCTTAAGTAATTAAGTATGCGAAAAATATGCTTTCTAGGAAGAACGTTCATTTAGGTCGAGTCAGGTAGGTTAGGTTAGGTAGTTTGGAAAAGGTAGTCTCCTTCCTTATGCAGAAAAGGATATTTTCCTTTCTTATTGCGTCGACAGTCGAGTCGATCGAATTTAGGGGTGTATCAAAATTTGGGTGAATAGAATTTCGGCGAATCGAAAATTAGTGAATTGAAAATTGGATGAATCGAAAATTGGGCGAATTGAAATACGTACCATACATACATATTATGTGTATCAAAAAATTGAAATATTTAATAATGATAAGCCCAGAATGATTCTTTATTCAGATTTGGCAACAACGCATCGTTCGGGTATATTCGGAGATGGTGAGCGAATCGAAAATTGGGTAAATCGAAAATTGTGCGAATCGAAAATTGGATAAATCGAAAATTGTGCGAATCGAAAATTGGGTGAATCAAAAATTGGGCCGAACGCAACCTACCCAAGTCGGCGACCTTTCTATAGATACATTCACAGGAAATTTTCGTCAGAAATCTCTGCTATCATTCCATCACTAACAATATCAATCACACAAATTCCATAGGCCCAGTCAGCACATTCTCCGGTGTCATCCTTGAAAAATGTTGAACAACACTTTACCAAAACTCGTTTTTATAATGGAAGTATTCCCAAGAACGCCATCTCGCCAGCCGCCAGCAAGAACATAATTATAACCGCCAAAATTGAAATAATAATTATAACCTCCAAAAGTTCAAAGAAATCCAACACCTACCTCTGCCTCTCCCTATCCTCCCAAGAGGTGAACCCGATGTTCTTGGAACATTAGAACAATATAGGAATTTCCTTTAATATGTTCCAAGAGATGAAAAACATGAAATATCAAGAATAAATTAATGAATAGGTATTATGATGGTTAATTTCATCATAAAAATATAACTAAAATAGAACACATGTCCAGATCGAGTGGAACACCTCTTGGAACACATGAAATCCTTCAATAGAAGTTGTTATATGTAATCTTGATTATTTAAGGAAAAATTTGTAATCTTAGTTTTTTGTGCATTTTTCCCATTTTTGCCTGATAATGTAGTGATTATTTATGGCTATAAGCATGATTTTGGGAAGACCTTTTGATACTGTAGTCATGATGACTTATATTTTGACATCCTATCACATTTGAAAATGTTTTTTTCATGTGGAAATGTCAACATGTTATGCATACATGGCTGTGAATGGTATTTTTAGCTCTATTCAATGGTATAAAAAATAAAGTTACACTGTAATGGAGTTCATCTCATGAATAAATAAATAAAAAATAAATAAATTTATTACAATATAAAAAAAATATGGTGCCCATAAGAACATAAGTTGCATAGGTAGATCTCTGAAAATAATTATAGAATATTTCTGACAATCTCAACTTCTATGTCATGTTTAAACAAATGCTCATGCAACATTTCAAATTTCTTCCTCTAATATTAACCAAGAAAATAAATAAAAGAAAATTCATTTTAAATTTTTTTCAAAATATTTCAGGAATGGCCTTTTTCCAAATTGTAAAAATGTCATATTGAAGAGGACTTGTGTCTGATTTTATCAACATTCTATCTCTTACACCAACACCTATTAAATCAGCAGGAACCTCTATATATTCACATACAAAAACAAAACAATATGTGAAGGTTGAATGTATGACATGGAAAAAATAACAGGCTGGTCCATTTAAAATTTTGGATTTGTAGTTTGTCATGCTTTTATTCTTATGAATGAGGATGTGTTCAACTTCTCCACATATTGTTTGTTATATGATATGAATAAAGGTTTAAGCCCTGGAGCCTTTTTGATGGATATCCCCCAAGATATCCTCTGTACATATGAATGAAATATCTCACTTTGTCTTAACACTATCTATTAGTTCCTGTGTAATTCCATCTTTGAAAGTAAATAAATCAGAAGTTATTGTCCCCTCATAACAGGTACAATCCGTTTTTTCACAAGGAATATAATTGTCTCTAGCTCTCTTCACAGAATATAGATAATCCTTATATTTCGAATTGGCTTCTGGAAAGATGAAAATTTTCTATTTATTTTGGAAGGATTGAAACATAAAATATATATCATTACCTTTAGAATATTTATTGATTTCATGACTTTTTCCTTCAACACAATTTTCATTTCGGCCGTTTAAGCAAGATTGATTCGCAGAACATAATTCGAATGTACTAATACCACAAAAACAGATTAAAAGAAAATACGAAATGTTAACCATTTCATTAAAAATTCAAAAATTGTTATAACATTAGATTGAAGCAATAGCAAGTGCTGACAGTTTGACTTTGACACATTTGAATTTCTGACTGACACTTCCTGACGGCCCTGACTGGGCCCTGACGGGCTTTTCGGAGAGACTTCATTATTTGGCACCTGCCTCTCGACAGGTGCTGAACACAACATCTATTATTCTGGCTTCGAACGCTCGACTGTGCATGACCTATGACGGCTAAATATCTAGACTGTCTGACATGACTGTCCATATGCTGTCCAATCACTCACTCAGTTCAGTGTATACTATACCAGAGGGGTTTAGCTACCGTCCCTTCCAGAGAAGGTATTTATTTCCTGTTATTTGGAACTCTTATTCTGTTGTTTTCCAATAATATAGGTTATATATCAAGTGTAAAAACTGTGCCACTGTCAAGTCCCTGGTCAACAAATAATTCAGGTTATGTTCAATAGCTCATTTGACACAGTATCCATGCAAGGCTCGCCTTTTTGAAAATCTGTGCTCAAGAATCTCAGGTGATTTTTCGAACGATAAACTTTTTAAGAAAAAGGTTCATTTAGGCCGAGATGGGTTAGATTGTTGGTAAAAAGTAGTCTCATTTCATTTCTTATATGCATGAAGGATATTTTCCTTCCTAGAACACAACTTAGGCAACCCCCGCCTACAGTTTGTGACAATATTGGACTCGATGTTTTGTACATGAGTCAACGAGAATTACAATAAACAAGTGAGCAACGGAAAAGGAAATGCTGGTGGCTTAAGTAATTAATCATTCCAGAATTACGTCATTTGACAGGTTGCTGAGGGGCAAACATTGTAGTTTGTCAAGATTTGTCATACAAAACCAGAATTAGTGGGATCGTTTTCCTTGGAATCCGAGTTGGAACCAGAAAGAATTTCATAATTTCATTTGGTTAAGCTGTTATTATATTGTGGATGTGACAGGGACGGTCAGAGCAATGCTCATTAAAGGTAACCTAACAGATAGTTTGTGTGCCCCTCAAGAAATCATGTCAAAATCACGTGTTCTAGAATGATCAATATTCTTTCAATCTGAACTAACTGAAATATTTCACTAGAACTGTACTGAATCGTTCTTTCAAATGACGTTCAATATGTACAATGCATGTCAACTGATCCAGTTCAGTTCAAGTGAAATGTGTCAGTTAGTTCAGAATGAAAGAATATCACTAATAACGCGATGCAACATTTCCCCACTCAGTTCCCACATTACGCGCTTCATTTCTTGCGTTTTCTCTGCAGACTGCAGATGCCAGTTTGTGCTAGGTATGTGCATGCTGTGCATCACGCAGGGTTGGGTAAATGTGAGATGTTTGGAAGATGATGTTATTTACATTCAGTTCATTGATTACTCAAGGCTGGTTGCCATGATTACATTGATCAAAAACTGACGATACTTATGAGAGGTTCTAGTTCATAAAAAACCCGTAAGAGGCGCTGATAGTCATATGTTTAATGGCTACGGACCAAGGGCTTTGTCAAGTCATCCTTTCGACCACAGTGGTGAGCCAGGATGGCCAATGGTTGACTCGACTCCCATCAAAAGTTAGCGTGGTAACTTTGTGGGCAGGTTTGAAACGTGACCGATATTCTCAAACAGCTGGTTGGTCAAACCTAGGGTCCCTTGATGGAAATTGACGTTAAAGTCATCTTAATGTTAAGATGACTTTAACGTCAATTTCCATCAAGGGAACCTAGTCAAACCGATGGTCAGACTTCATACTGAACGTATGTGCCCGGTCAAACCACAGACTTGACACATCCGAAATAACAACAATCACGACAAAAAATACGGAAATGGTGTGAATACGTTGCTTTTTGACATTGTTTCTGATAATTGAGTTCCTATTTTCTTCTTGAAGAAAATACGTACATCTATTAGAATCAGATGTAATAAGAACCATATACAGAGATAAGTTACCAGACTGGTAACTTATCTCTGCCATATATTGCGATTTTCAACTGTTTTGGAAACAAAAACGCATCAGCGCAAACACCATATTGATTATGAACATTATTATGACATTTACCACATTTGAGACATTAACGAACGTGAAAAAATCGGAGATTTAAATTGCGTGAACGTGATTGAAGTGAGTGGTTGGTGACATCTTGCAATTTCGGACGTAATTTACGACATACCATCATTTGTTACATTAACGCGACATAAACTAAAATTCTGTTGAAATTGAACAAGATCCATAGGTACTTCATATTCTCGAATAAATACTAGAATGAAAATATAGATATTAAAGAAAATAGGCGCCGCACATAATGCATCCTGATTATAATTGCCAACCTCAAAATTACCAGAACTCATATAGAACCATCCATTTCGTTCACGTTCACGACATACACAATTTGCTTTACCTTTTCGATTTCCTATGACCTATCGTTAATGTCTCAAATGTAGCAAATGTCGTTAAATCAATTTTGGTGACATCTACTCAACCCTGCTCAGGATACGCGATATCTGCGAGATTAAATTGTTTCTCCATAATTATAATGATGGAAATAAGTTATTTCCATCATTTTCTTGAGTTATTATAGTTATCATCAAGCGAGCTCATCGTGGTACAGTGAGATATCATGAGCAAAGTGTCTGCATGTTACGCTTCTGTTGCAGGGTTCAATCTATGCGAAGGTCATCTTTTTTCAAACTTAGTTTTGTTCTCAAGCAGGTTCTGCGAGTAATTTTTTGAAGAGAACATTTTTATTCAGAAACAATATTTTTTAGGGCTGAGTTAGATTAGATTGTTTGAAGAAAGTCGTATTTTTTATCTACTCACTGCATCGAAAATAAGCGTTTTAATTTTACTCTTACTATCATTAAACTTTCGAGTTGTCATGAACCAAACTGTTAAGTACATTCAGCCATCAGCCTACAAGTTAGCCACCAACCCTAACAATACAAGTACATCCTAGAGACTTTCCATCAGGGACTTCCCTGATTTTATACTAGGACATCCCAGGGATATCCTTTGTCGAGACAAAGTACATATAATAGGGACGTCCCATCAGGGAAATCCGCTGGCCGACAAAAAAGACATCCAAGGGATGTATTTCTGGTACGTCCCTGGGATGTACCAAGTACGCAGAAAGGATATCCCTAGGATGTCCCAAGGATATTCCAGGGACATCCCTTCGACAAAAGAAAAGGGATGTACTTGGTTGATAAAATAATATATATATTATATATCTTGGGAGCAAAGGTTGATTTTCTGCTATGTGTGTTTGATGCTCTCCCACACGCGGGAGGATATGGTTACCTTACTCAAGTAAAGGATGTTTACTTCCATTGTTGGCAGCGTTACCAGCACAGCAACTCGAAATATACTATGAAGTCTCCGAAAAAATACTAGTTTTTCGATAAAAGAACTAGTTCAGATTTTCATTCAAACTTCCTACTATTGAGTAAGGAAAAGGGTGGGGGAAGGAAATAGACAAAAAAAATAATGTTAACTTATTTACTGAATATTGTGAATATCTAATTTCTCATTAGTCAACACACTTCAAAACAGTCGATTGAGTCAATCGTCATTGTCATTAATTTTTATTCATGATCATAACTGAGCAACGTGAAAACAATTGACAAATAACAATATACAATTGACACGTAATATATGAGCTGCATTATAGTACAGGTATGCATCATAAGCACAAAACTTAAAGCTTTATATGGATGGAAGACAATATAATAACATTTCACTGATATTGCACATTATTGAACTTCTTTTTGGTTCATATCGGCAATGTCGATATTTCAAGTCGAAAGTACTAGGTCTGGCAACGCTGATTGTTGGTTCCGTTGTTGTCGCCTAGCACCTAGACAGTTGAAAGCGAGTTCAAACACTCCCTACTCCACTATCCACTTTAATCTTAACTGGAATGTACTGTGCTCAGTGTGGTGAAATAAAGCTATGCGATAAGTATACGTAATAACGCACAAAAGTTTTTCTAGTTTCGATATTTTTTGATTAATTAAATCGATATTTATAGCCGAAATTGCTTTTCTATTATTATTAAGTTTAATACGCTTTTTGCACTCATTCATACAAGCAAGCCAGGAAGATATAGAAGTATTTTTGTTATTGACCGACAAACAGTTTCGATTTATTTCAAGATGTTCCTACCAATAATCTACCAAGTTCAGTGGAATGGAAATAAGACACAGAAACATTAGATCTATGATTCTCCATTTTAATTTTACCAATGTCTTGAATGATGAATTTCGATAAGAAATATACAAATCAATACATAAATACCTATCTGACTAGGCACTATATTAGTCAGTGTCCAATTCAAATAGGATTATATACTCCCATCGTACAATATAGAAGAGGACTAATTGCAGCAAAAATCAATCCAGCTCCCAACATGGGTCGGTAAAAAACCCATGCCGTTGCAATCACCATCAATGACAATGAAAATGAAAAAATGATTGTATTGGAAGATGTTGGATCTCCAGAAAGAACGTCATTCAAAATTGGCACTTGCTGGACTGTAATAAAAACACATTATTAGGTGTGTGTTAACCTCAACCTTGAATCTTCAAATTATATCAAGAAGTTTTAGGGTTGGAGTTTATCATGAGTCATCGGAATCGAAATTTTTATGTTCCTTCTTTGTATGACTTCTATAATATTTTCGAAAGTACAGCATTGTCAGTTGTAGGTACTTCAAATTGGCAAAAAATTTCCAATACTAAATGAATTCTATTTTCCTAATAATTATTTCCAATAAATAGCTACCTATATCTGCAGGAAACGGAATGAATAAATCATTCGCAGACTTCGCTGTCCGGCTTCCACCAAAGAATTCTTTGGGAACAGGCGCCGACATAAATGTAATTACTAGAGATTGAAAACTGCGCTAGCAGTAAATTCAATGACAAGACAACTCGTCTTGACTACCATGACAATGTCCAATCGAGCTTCTAACCAAAATTTTCGGTTCGCATATTTCAAAGCTATTATAATGGGTAAGGAATATTTCTTTCTAGCAATGAAAAAAACAGTGAGTATATTTTTGAATAAACTAACCTAACCTAACCCCAAAAAAACAATGTTTGTTGCACGAGGTTCTAATGCTATAGAAGCAAAACATAAAATTAACCTAACCCCAAACAAACCATGTTTGTTTCACGAGGTTCTAAATCCCCCTCGAAACATCGCAGTACCACGCTAAAAGCATTAAAATGGTAGCAAAAGATAAAATAGTATATGTTCTCTCCATATGTGACAAATTTATTTTTATATTCATCTTGTGATCTGTATAGTTTCTTTGTACCTGTGTATCGGCTTTGTCCATATTTATCTGATGATATTTCGTATCATTCACTTTTTCAGTTTTTTTGGGTAATAGTTCTCAATTTTTATTGAACTCTGTGTTCATTTTACAAAAGAGGGCGGAAAGATTCCTTAGTAAAGCTAAATCCACAGAACCATATGTCAACCCTTATTGGCACAGAAAATATACATGGACTTGCATCTTCATTCTGGAGAGTATATGTATAATCCACAAAAAATATAATACCACGAACATTCATTCGATGTCGGTATACAACACAAGGAATGTTGGTTTCCCTACGAATTCTTATATGTACATTAATAAAAAAATCTATCAAGTATTAATGATGCCAAAAAAAAATTTTCAATCACCTGCCTTCACATATTTGTTCATTGCTAATATATATCAAGTATAGAAAGTCAGTCAAAGAGCTACTATTGAATTTTATGAAGATGCATTTGATTAAGCTTGCCAATTTTTATAATTCCTTTTTTAATTGTTCAATATCTTTTTTTTATAGTGTGACTTTTACTAGTATATGTTTTACCTGAATGTTTTGTTCCTTATATATGTGCATATTTTACATGATTTTATAGTTTTAATATTAGTTATAGCTCATCATACACATGCTTTGTCAAAAATACCTTTTGGTTTTTGCTACAATAAAGACTTTCTTCTTCTTCTTCATGAATCAAAACTGAATGATTTTTATTCATCGTCACATATGGTATGCATCAAAACAATGAGCAGCTGCTCGTATTTCGGCCAAAAACCTCTAAAACTTCATCGCCACATATTTTCGTGAAAAATGTTCAGGCGATAGCCGAATTTGGACCGACAGCATATTGACATCATGTACTAGCAAATTCAAGTGATTTGTTTCTCAGCTGTTTCTATGTACGATATATTTAAGTATATATTTAATGAGATGATAAATTGAAACTGAAATTTAGAAAATGTAGGATTTGCTAGGTACTAGGTAGGTACCTAGTATAATAATAAGAAAGATTTCCCGATTTCCAAAAAACCAGCGCAATGGTCAGAGCAATAATATTTCAGAATATTGATACTTTATATAATTATGTGGTAATTTATCATTCAAGTTCTACATCAATAAATGTTGTGCTGAACAAGTTTCAAGTATTCCGATATATCATTGCATTCGAGATTATATTCAAATAGTCATATGCACACTTACATAATATTTTGTGTAGTTTTGCTAGGCACACAGAAGATGCATATAATACGAATATTCCAAGACCTCGCAGCTTCCATGTTTCCAATTTCGAATCATAATGTTCAGCAGTGAACATTTGATTGATATTCAAGTTGCCGTACCTAAGTAGAGCTATTTTATGACCTCTACTTGTTTCATATGGTACTAGAACTCCATTTTCTTGTTTCGCCACAATGGTTACCTGAAATATAGAAATAATTCGGAACTTTGATGCAGTACGTTTAATTATCAGAAGGAAAACTTATACAAACTGGTGTCAGAATAATCAAGAAACAATGAAAGAATGATACTTTTCCTGTAATTTCACCAATTTTCGCGAGCATTATTTTTTTGAGCGTGCCCATTCATCATTTCAATTTTCTTTATAGGTAATTGACAACTCCATGCAGAGTGCAACAAATGGGACAGGTTCTAGAAGTTCACAAGACATATTATGTGCCAATTTCACACTTTTCATACAGGGTGGCTGTGATTAGGGCGACAATCCTTCCACCATATATAATGCGTTACGAAATTCGACCGACAGCGCTTTATAGACGGTAGTCAAGAAATATTATGTAGGAACATGATTGACTTGTTTAAGAGCACGATTTTAAGAGATACATGGTGTTGAAGAATAAAGATCGTTTCGATTACGGTATATCTGATATTCTTTTCAAAAACCTCCCATATTGTTTGGCTTTTTAGAAAGAGGATTTATTGTTTCTCCACCCAACTACATCCATCCACAGTTATAAAATTGTGAAGAAATGATGCCACATGATAGGTTAACAAAAACCATAGTCAGATTACTAAATGGGACATAATACAGGAAAAAAAGAGAAAGTTGTGAAAAAAGTACTAAAACAAACTAGCGCTGGGCAATCTATGGCTGGGCATAGCGCTGACCAGCAAAGCCGAAGACGGGAAGACGGTGATCATTTTGTCGGGCAGCAAATATCGAAATGAAACAATAGTTTGATGTTGAAAAGTGAAAAGTCGACTGCTCGCGAATTTCTGTTACATCAGATATTGTCGCTATATTACTGCAAGGTAACAGCAACTACTGAAACGGACATTCAGCAATATTATGAATGTGATGTTTGCGATTGAATCATTCCAGCAATGTTATTGTAACATTGGGTATGAAGAACAGTTATATTTCATATTTAATGAATAAATGTAATCTTATCCTAATATTTTATCAAGGTTACTGGCTATATAAAATGAAAAGTATAGGAAAATTACATATTTTATGTTGCGAATAATCGTGTCGACTATTTCATAATTTATAAGTCAATTAGGAGTATTTCTAAATGTTTTCGATACAACGGTGCTACGGCTAAGGCACTGCACTGCGAAAGAATCTGGAAAAATGGAAATAATAATAAAATAAAGTAATCAGGAATCTACCTGTTAGTTCATCTATCGGTTGAACTTGAGAGCTGATGATTGTGTACTTGATTCTGGAAATATTCATTTTCAAATGTTCAAACATTCTCTGGACCCTCTAGACTCCAATTGAATATTTAGATGATTATCTAGATGTTCATAGAATATTCATGAGATAATATGAATATTTCATGGGATCCACATAATATTCTGAAGAACGATATCTGAGGTTTTTTCAGAATATGTCCTGTATTTGAATTATAGTGCACATTCAGAGGTATTTCAGAGAAGTTCCTTCATTATGCAATTCTTTATCGCCTCTCGAAATAAATATATATAAATATGAACCACCCTGTATTAACTAGTATGCCCTTAATGTTTCTCAATTATTTCTTCCATTCACTATTTTTTTTAAATCACCCTGTAAATTCATCAATTGGCCTTTCACAAAAACTTAATTCAAATTGAATGTATACTCACTGGTTCTCCTGTTGCTCCAGCATAATAAAACTGAACTCGTATATCTCCCACCTCTGGATTCCAGATATCATCACAATGATAATAAATGCCCATGTGCAATTTCACATCTGTCCTTTCCGGTCGTTCGTCACTTGTGATTTCCACCCAATCATCGAATTTTTCCTTGATTTCATCACCAACTGATAGTTGGCCTAATCTCACTTGAGGTGCCACATGAGATACAGTTTTCAATGGGATATCTCTAAGAATAAATTAATACACAATTACCAGTACCATTTTCCTACGTCAATGATGAACATCATAACATATGTGATAATACTAAAAATATTGTTTAGAAGTTCCATCCCCAAAAGGAATGGGCCTGTTACAGAGAAAAATGTAATTTCATTATTTCTAAATAACCCTAACTAGTTCACTGTCGGAAACCGTTTTTTCCTCAGAGCTCTGTACATTTTTTGAATAATAATGATTGAAATTCACGATATTTCATAACAGGAAAAATGCGGGAAAACGCGTGATGTAATCTACCTATCCACTCTCTGTTTCTCTAAGACAAGCTCATGAATATTTCTGATTGTCTTTTTCATCAAAATATGAATAGTTATTTATTATACAAGAGAAAAAAGTAGTAGATTTTAGCTCCAGGTTCTTGTCTTCCGACGCGTAGCGGAGGGAGACAAAAAACTATGAGCTAAAATCTTATATTTTTCCCGTGTATGATACACTATTTTTTTCTGTGACAGAACAAAGGACGAATCAATATTGAGAAGATATTTTGAAATCTGAAAATTACCGACGTGAAATTTGAAGTTTTTAACAGAAGGGACACCTGCGTTGGCATCTTCATCATTCTTTTGAAGTAATCAGATATTTGATGTCATTTCTGTTAGTCTAATTCTGTGATTTGATTTCAAAAAATTGCGAATTTAGTGGTTGTTTAGTAATTTACGTAACCGCGAAGTCGGAAGGAAGATAAAAGGACTTATTTTTGGAACTATAGCACAACAAAATCCGTCAACAGTGTATATATAATATGTGATATATATCCGGGAAAAAAGTAATTTATGAAAAGTGAAATTGTATAACTTGTCAAGTATTCATCAATATCGACTTGTCATTATGCTGTCATGTTCATGGCTACTAGATTGAAAATAGGTTCATATTTCAGTTTCACAGAACTGAAATGATTGAAATTTACTGTTAGTGGTGTGAAAAACTTGATATACACCTTGGCAGTAAAGAATATTATTACCACTGGACCATATCGTGGGCGTACAAGCAGAATCATGTGAGTCCAGAAAATAATATAAGGAGAAAAACGCAATTGAATATTCGAATCAACCTGTAAAATTATAACGAAATTGACTTAAGTGGATTTTCATTGACTATATCTCCGGAAACAAACGCAAAATGGACTTGAATGTTGCCTGGAGCGTTACGCTAATATGGACTTATGTGTGATAAATTCCTGATTTCCGAAAAAAGTGGACTTACAGGGTTCTGCTTGTACGCCCACGATATATACCCCTCGGCTGAAGCATCGGGATATAATCTTGGTACCTGAGTAATACTGATATTATTTACTACCTTGGTGTATGCATTTTTTTATTTAAATAATGATTGTATGCGTTCTTCGAAATTGTTCTATTTCAGACCTCATTTCAAACGTAGAACCATGGCCGTCATTTGGTCATGTTCTGCGATACGTCGAATAAATGGTGACATCAGTTTATATGCTGTGTCGTTATTGGTCAGATAATCATTCATTCCTCCTCAAGAAGCAGGGTTGTCAAGTCACCAATTATAATCGAATCATCAAAAAGATGTTAGACTTCTGTCGTTGAATGAAACATAATAAGAGGAAGTCATGAATTTATAGTTCATTTTTGACTTTTTCGAGCAACCAGCATGTCCAAATATTTCTTATAACAAACTTGGCAACGACGACGCCCACAATTCCTGCGCCGTGTACCGGTTCAAATGTTCTCTAGTGTGAATTACTATAATTATTATTCACACAAATGCAATAAGCCACAACACATGAGGGAACATTTTGAGACAATGGATTTTTGATTGCTAATTAGGAATATTACCATAATTTCAGAGAAAACAAGTATAGCTCAAAGTCGGTCGACCACACTTTATGTATTATAATGATTGGGCATTTATGATTATTGAATGACTAATATTTCTGAAATTCCCAATCGTATTTTAACATATGGCAACTGTGCTATGGTCTGCCCCTACTTACGACATCGTGACGTCAGTTTTTACTTGCGGTAAATTTCTATCCGTTTGAAAATTACCGTGGCAATATTGATGATGTTAGCACCTCAAAATCAACCAAAAATTTCAAGAAATATCGATATGAAAGGTTTTGAGTGATGATGCTATTTAAGAAACAAATAAAATAGTCCATTTGCCCATCAATGGGTAATGGGAACACGTAGTTCTGTTGAGCCCTTCAGCTGTCGAATCATGCACAGCAGGTTATTCTACCAGGTCCTTCAGAGCATTTAGTTCTGTTGATCCCTCCAGAGCATGTAGCTCTGCTGAGTCCTACAGACCAAATAACCGGGACCAATCACAGAGTCCAGTTCCTATAAATGGGGCACGTAGTTTTAACCCCCAGCAGAGGAGTTTTACACCCCAAACCACAGTAGAGTGCTCAAGATCCAGTAGTCGCACTTAGAGTGGATTTATGCACACCACTTTTTCATTAATCTGTTGCTTTCATCAACTGTCATTAAATTAATTTTTATATATATTAATTTTAAACTCTTCTTCATGATCAAAACTCAGCGTACTTAGCCCGATGAAAATATTTGTGTTCTAACCTTCACCGCTCATATAATTACAATAAGAATCATTCTATTATATTGTTTTCGAAGTCATGGGAACAGCAACAAGTTCTCGATAAAATGAAAATGAGATTGTAATATTATAAAAATTCGATTATAGAAAACCAAGCAACACTTTTTTATGTTTATAAAATACTTATAAACCAACAAAAATATAACAACCCATTAACCCTAGTGAACCAAATACATCTTCATGAGACAAGAGCACAAAACCAAGTTTACTTATGCACAACAAATTAGTTAGAACTACAGCCGCATTAACCAACCCAATTTCTGAATAAATATAAAATAGGGAGTTATTCATTATTCGAAGCGAAACTAAATGAATACTTCTATTGACGAATCCGCCGATTATGAACCTTTGTTCCGTTAACGGCAACCCAGCCGATTTGAAACTGATTAGAATCAATAATAATGATATGTTTAATGTATACAAGGAATATGTTGTACGATAGTTCATTTATCAATTTGATGTGTGATATATTAAATGGTAATATTGTATATATTCTATATTATTTAATGATACAATTATTAACCCTGTTCTCACATTCTTTTTCCGAGAGAGGCCAGAAGTGCGTGCAGTATCAGCCCACAAGCATCTAGCTAGACCAGTGAATCTTTCAAACCTTAAGGTTATCAGAAGGTTATTCGTGTTTATAAGACTTATGAGAATGGAAAATATCTCGTTTTTTTTTTAATTGACTCGGCCGTTACTTGATGGAAATCTATGGCAAATGTAAAAACTTCACAAACGATAAGATTTCCACAAAATTTCGTTGTTTTGTTTTTACATTTGGAAAATATCTCCTCTGCATGAAAAAGGAAACTATATCCAACCTAACTTGTCCTTAATAAACATTTTTCCTTAATATTTTAGAAAAATTCAATTGAGTAAAAGAAATTGACAAAAAAATTGACGCCTCGCAGGGATTGAACCCCAGTCACCACCGCAGAAGTCAGATACACAAACCACTAAGCTATCGATTGTTCATAGTTTCTCAATATAAAGAAGTAAAGGGCGCCGTACATTATGCTATTTACCAGCAAGTTTGATGCAATGCAATTTTGAATCGAACAATGCGCATGCGTCTATGATATTTCACGGCAAGTTTCGTAATAGAACCAGTCCTATTTTTCCTGCAATTTCAAGGCAAGTTTAGTAAAATTTTTAGTAATATTCATCAAAGCATCTTGATAAAATACAAATTTTCTCCATAACATGACAGAAATATCTCAATGTACGGCGACTCGCAATAAATTTAGAAAATTGCGAGAAAATTGCATTGCCTCCAACTTGCCGAGAAATAGCATAATGTACGGCGCCCTTGAGAAATATCATCTGTTGTGGCTGACGTCACTTGACCTCGATGTTTGAAGATTCACTTTTCCAGCTAGACGCAATTCAAGGTTGGTAGAACTAATGTGGATCATAAGTTTCAAGGTTGGTAGAACTGATGATAATTTGTAGGAACCACGCCATCTAACATAAAATATGTAAACTCCACGTCATCCTCTGAAATTCAATTGTTTATATCAAGATCAAGAACCAGTCTGATATTGGATGAAACATATGAAGAGTGAGGGTACCAGACCCACCAGAGGTTTATTTCATCAATTATGTAAGAAAAATGTTTTTCATCAGACTAAAAAATCAATGAGTTATCTGGAAATTATCTATTCACATGGAAGTGAAAAAAGGGGCAAAAGCAATGTTACAATTTGATAATTATAAAAACTAATGGAATTACTTTTTGTAAAAATGAAAGAGGGCAGTGCTCACTGCCCAAATAGGGCTTCATGGAGTGTACAGAGCCACCTGGTCATCCAGGAGAATGTCAAAAAAATGGGGCCCATGATCATTAACAGATAAGGCAACACATTAACAAAATACGAAACTCCAGAGCATTGAAACATTTTTGACAGTTAAAATGTGTGTGTTCATTCATGTATATAATATTGTCATCTTTAATTGATTGGCTGATTTCAAATATCTTCAATGAATTCAAGTGCCTTTCTGGCAAATGTGTAAATCCTGAAGGTCATTGTCAATATCAAATTGATAATCATAATTCAATATGTGATTGGCAAATTAACTTTTGGTCACAGAATACCCAAACTTGGGGGGGTATTCTGTGTTTTAGTGTTGGGAATTCTTGTAGCTGTCAATCAATTTGACATGCTCAATAACTTAAGTTTGAATTCTCCTCCCAGTCTGAACAATATATTGTGCCAGACAATCAGGATGTGAGCAACAAGATTCTAGGGAAGAGTTTATAGTGAAAATCAGTAAAGTAGTTATCAATCATAAAAGTGTCTTGATATACCCAAGCCTAAAAAAATAAGTGAGGTTGTGTTTTATTTACAATTCTCCTCCAGGGTCAGTCATCTTGCAAGCTGCTTGTGACCTATTACATTGAATTGCTCAACTTGAACAAAATGAAAAATATATATTTACCTTGGATTTTCATGTCCATGCCTTACATAGAAACTGCTACTATCAACTAGCTTATCTCTCCATTCAGTAACATAATAATAGTCATTTATAGAATATTGGGCCTCACCATTCTCATCTTCATTCCGGGCACTGAAAATAATTAATTAGAAAGGCAATCAACCTAGTTGAATGATTTCCCCTTACGTTCGTTCTTCAACCCACTGATACATTTGCACCCTTCTTTTCATTTTCACAGCCTGAATGGAAATGCCATAATCCACATCAGTCAGTGGCTCATCCACAAATAGACTATCACTAATGTGTACCACTCTTCCATTGTAATCATAACCAAACCTTTCATGTGGATTAACAGTTACAGCACTGTTGTATGTTTCATCTAGTGAATGTGAATGATGTACAGCTCTGCCCTAAGGAGTAAGGCAACTATTTCCTTGATTCATGATATAATTAATGAATTACTTATATTTATTTATTCCCTAGTTACCTCATTCCATGTTAACAGCCAAACTCCAAAACAAAATAATGCAATTCCTATGAGAGATGTTAACCAGCTCCTTTGAAATTCGTCCACCAAATTTGCCATTGCATGTTTTGAAATATTTTCATGCAGGTACCCTCTTGGAAGATGTAAACAAATTGTATATTTTTTCCGATATTTTTTCACTATTTGAAATAATATATTATGTAAACTTCACGCATGCTCAAATAATATCAAATATCAAATACCCGGGCAACCGGGCAATTATTATTCCAAAAGGCAAATTATGAGTTTTGCCCTTGTTTAAATGAACACCAGAGCAAATGTAAGTTTCAAGTTTCCATTACACACTCTCCAGTACTAGGATTTTCTGAATAAATTTTGTGACGTTTACATACTGATAATTTGGAGTAGTTTTTGGCAAAATGCATGAAATTGAGCCTATTGATTTTCCGGTTTCCAACTTATTTATATTTTTTATTTGTTTTGACTTTTGGTTTTGATAGATCTGAAATCTGTCAATGTCATATCAGTTACATCTTCACAATATGTCAAATGTCAGATGTCAAACTACCGCCTTTCAATGCGAGGCCCTGCAGACAGTTCCAGACCGTCATCCAATATTTGGCTTCCAACGCACGTCTGTGCACTTGGGCGGGCACACGATGAGAGATTTAATTCTATTTCCAAACAACTTATAAACATCTCACATATATATATACATTATTTAGTGAGCCTTGTGCTCGTGGTACAGTCAGTCTGCGGTCCTTGCAAGTACAACTTTTCTCATCTACTTCGCTCGAGTAATTTTCCGTAGGTTCATTTTGGCCGAGTTAGGTTAGATTGCTTAGAAAAAGTAGTATTTTTTGTTCTTTCTAGCAGGCTTTCTAGTAATTTTCTGAAAAATATAGTTCTTAGGAAGTTTCATCTAGGCAGAATTAGCTGAGATTATTCATAAAAAGTGGTCTCTCCTGTTCTCCCAAGTAATTTTCGAAAAATATATTTCTTTAGGAAGAAAAGGTTCATTCAGGAGGAGTTAAGTTAAATTGTTTAAACAGAGTAGGTACTCTTCTTCCTTATATAGAAATTCTATTTACCCACCTTATATGTACAGAATGTCTATATATTTATATATTGACCCCTACACCTACATGCAGCTCCAACTATACGAGGTGGAGGAAAACTTCAAATATGAAAATTGTATAAGGTTTCATCTGTACTATCTTCTGGCACACCTTAAAAAGGTAAACAAATGCGAATCGCAAAATTGACAAAATGAGTCGTATCAAATTTTTTAAAAGGAATACCCTGAATATCTTCAACATTTGTGAAAGATAATTTTCTTCTGTTCACAAATATACACTCGATCACCAGCAAAAAAAATCGGCCACCAAAAAAGTTTGAAAAATGAATCGCCCTATAACTTTTTAACCAAATTGTAGAGTTATGTTTCTGTATATTGGCATTGATCTTTATTAAACGCCCTGTGGCGAAAGTGAGTGATGAAACTTAGCTTCATCATGATTTGTATTGAAGGGTGATCATTTCGTACCACAATGTTTTTTGGTTCACGTCGCATATATTCTTTTTAAGAGATGATGCGAGTGTTTCAGGAGAGAATGGATATTTCAAATTTGAAGAACCCACATGAACTTTTATAGATTGACAACTCGAAAGAATAACATCTGAAAATTTATATCACTTATTTCCACCCTGTTTTTGAGCATTGAGCAGCGAAGAAAAAACTAAAATACTGAAAGTAACCGCAAAGCAGAGCTCCTGAATGTAGTCGAGCTTGAATTACAGCATTCAACCGCCGTGGCATCGAGTTGTTCAAATTTCTCAAGGAATCTTGAGGATTTCCCCGAATTCTCCTTATGGCGAATTGTAGCTTCTGAAAGAGTCTCTCGACAAAGCCATACGAAGGCGATTGAGCTTCTGGAGTTCATCCCAAAACATGCTCTATAATATAGGTTCTAAATTATTGTTAATGGAAATAAAAAAATTCCATACTTTTTTAAAACACTTGTACCTTCCCTCAAAAAGAAGATATTGACGTAAATCAAGAACCACTGTGTTCATAAAGGATCACACTTCAATCCAAAACATGATGAAGCTAAGTTTAATCACTCAACTTTGCCACAGAACGTAAGAAGTTAAGGGTAAAAGAGTAACTTTTGTTTTTCCTTGTATGGTGATCAAGTCATCAGCTTTTTTCAAGAAATAAAATGCAGACCAACACTCCGTAACATGAATCCACAATTTGGTAAAAAATTCACCAGAATTGGACCAGAAATAAAAAATTAACAGGGCGATCAATTTGGCAACCTGGCCGGTTTTCTTGCCGGGTAATTTGGTAATCTGTGGTTAAACTTTCAAACTTGCTGGAACTTCTTCGATTTGAACTATATATTTTTGCGTATGATATTCTGCAAGCCTGATCTTTTGTGAATAGAACTAGAGGTCGAAGATACAAATCCGTTGTAAATTACCTGATATATGACATGATGAGGGGCCAGGTAGCCGTGCGGACAGAGTGTCTATATTCTAATTCGCATTCGCTTGCCGGTCGTGGGTTCGATTCCCATCGACTGCAGAAATTTTCCTGATGGCCCAAGAAAGTGTTTGGGATCACACGTTAAATGGTAAGGCCCCCGTCATTCCTTGCTCGCACAAGACTTTCGAAGACTTCTGAGGGTTGCTTGTAAAGGGGCATCCGAATGAGGGATAGAACAATTTTAGAACAATAAAGACAGGTGTGTTTTCAGATCTGGATTATTCCAATCTTCTTGCATTCATCGGAATTATGTATTTTTGTTCCAAAAATAACAAATAACTTCATAATTCACCGTACAAGAAAAAGAAAACAGGTTGAACACATTTGATTGAAAAACAAACTTTTGAGAAAATTAAATAGCTTCAACTACCAAGTCTACATGTCGTCTCCAACTGTCGATGGCTTTTCTAATGTGATCCTGACTCGTTTCACCCCAACACTACTGGAGAATTCGCAGGCGCAGCTCTTCGACATTTTCAAATTTTCTTCCATTGCCGTGGTACCTGGCCTCCAAATCAACACTCTTTCCCTAAATAGACGGTTCAACGGTGTCTGCCGTTTCCGTAGGTGGTAAAGTTATACGTAATTCATTCTTTTTTCGCATTTTCAAGTGATTTATTGTGAATATCTTCTCATCATTGAACAAGATTTTTTCAATATCGAATCTAGCTCTAAATGTATTCAAAAGGCTGCTGCATCTCAGCTATCTTCTGTCTTCAGCAGCAGGAGTTAGTTCAAATGAATGCTCCCGCTTTACAAACTTGTACCTCATTCCAATTTTAATCATCCTGTTGAAAAAACTATACGAGAAATTCCCCATCTCCTGGCAATTTGCGGAAAGCTTAAGCTGGTCCCACACGCTCTTTCAGGGCTGACTGCCAGATTCAAAACTCGCAGAATATTTTCCTACAATATGAATTGACACTTGGGCGCCCCTTTCCCCCGCGTCTTGTGATGGACTATAACAAAGTCGTAGAGATATGTTAATTGAGCTTCTTGAAGAACCGCATGGCAGGAAGTTGTTGTAAAATCTCCTGCACCTTGTATACCCCCTCAAAATTGAAGTTTTGATTAAAATTTTGAAATTTTGGAAAGCACCATCTTGAATTTAAACCCTTCGAAAAGATTAAATCATAAACAATAATTCAGAAGACATTCGATGTTCATTATATCTGTGGTTATATCTATCTATACATGTTGTAGCACAAAGGATTAATAAAATCTATCTATCTATCTATCTATCTATACACACCGACTTGATTTTGCAAAATAGTAAAGAAAATAGAAATCAAACTGTGGGGAACTCGTAGTGCATGGGAACATAGTTGTATATATATAAATCCATCCTGTCATATATCAGTCATTTTTTAACGGATTTGAATGTTCGACATCTTGTTCTGTTCAGAAAAGTTCGCACTCTTTATATATGGCTGTGTCAAGTCATTCGTTCGACCACAGTGGTGATACCAGGATGGTCAATGGTTGACTTGACTCCTCTAAAAATTAACGTGGTAACTCTGCGGGCAGGTTTGAAACGTGACCGATATTCCCAAACAGCTGGTTGGTCAAACCAAAGATCATACAGATCTTGGTCAAACTGATGGTCAGACTTCATACTGACCGCATGTGCCCGGTCAAACCACAGACTTGACACAGCCTATATCTCTATCTCACATATCTATACTGATCTATACTAAATCTGTAGGTACTAATATTATAAAGAGGAAAGATTTGTTTGTTTGTATTAAATAGGCTCCGAAACTACTGTTCGATTTGAGAAACTATTCCACCATTAGAATCCGACATTATTCCCGATGAACATAGGCTTTTATCGCTTTATATCGCGAGATTTCTCCTACGGGAAAACGGGTAGTGAGAATTGTCCTTCCGTACTTATATTTTTCACATAACTTTTGAACAGATAATATGATCAGGTTGAAATTTTATATATGGGTATTTCGATGGTGATGATTTCAAAATAAAATTGGACGCGGTAGAGGTGGCGACTGGCGCTGCTGTCGGTACATCTACGTCGTCAACTACTATTTATAATAAACAGCTTGAATGTTGATTTTCTTGTACGTAAATCAACAACAAAAATACAAAAGATACTGAGAGAATGAAGATAGGTGTAAGTATATGATAGTAGCTATAGGTAAGCTCAGAAATTTAAAAAATAATTACTGTAGATACGCGCATATAGCTAAGAACGACTGCAACAGATGTCTTATTTTTTCCAAATGGGTAAACCAACCGTGCGATTCCGTCCAGACAGCTAGTCTGAAAATATACAGTGCGGTGCGGCACAAAAAAGTTTCAGAATGTCTTAAAATTTGACCAAGCAGTTTATAGGTGTGTCCACCATTCTGGTTTTATAACGAATATCAAAAATATGATGTTGACGTTTTATGCTGATCATCAATTATCTTTCAAACAAGACAAAAATCAATTAATTCGGTGCAACAATAAAAATGAGAAATGAACTATACCTAGGAAAAGGGGGAATGATTCGTTCTTTCACGCTTTAATTTCTAATAGGTAGGTTGAATCCTAGAATCGACAGATTTTTTATCATTTGTTTTCCACTCAGAATCAGGCGTTCCTATCATTTTCATATCTGCTTGCTATCAGTAATTATCAATATAAATAGATTCATATTCATATTATTGTGTACATTCTAATGATAACATTCAATACGTATATGAAGGTGATATAGAAATAATCCTGAATTCTGAAATACAACTGGAAAAGGTGTGCAGTAATACTCGTGGTGCATACCTCTACTTCGTGCAAGATTATATTTTTCACGAAAATGTAACCTACAATGAAAAATCGATTTTGAAATTGGTTCATTGGCATTTGTTGAACTGTTTTCTATAGTAATCATATAGATTGTATCTAGGCATGATATAATTTGTTGATATTCGTTGATATTTTGACGATTGTTGAATCTTGATGTCAGTGTTTCATTTCATTATATTTAGTAAATGATATTGTTATTTTGTCTTATACCCATTATACGCCCTATAAAAATATTTGAGTTGAATACCAATTTTCAAAAAAATATTGAAGGAAATGCACCCAATGCAACCAAAAATGTATTGCCGGAGAAATCCAGACCCTTGTATGGCATGCGCAGCCGCGGACCTATGCTCATGTAAAAAATATTTCTTCAAATCAAGGATTATCGCTCTCTCCAGGAAAGACCTCATCCATCATGATTATTATACCTGTATATATGTACAGCGTGAATAACTAAGAACGGCTGTCATCAATTATTCCTCCAACTTTGATCGTTATATAATACCTTGCGTTAGCGAAAAGCTATCATATTACGGTTTTCGTTGGTCCGTTGAGATTTAGTTTATTCATTTAATTGTGCAATGATATGCACACCATCACATTTGATCTTTTCAAAATTACGATATCTATTGATACTCTGAAGTTCACGCATTCTAGCGGCAACGGTGATATGAATATGAAACCAATTCAAATCACATTTGATAAAACAGGAAGAAGCCTTTACAACGAGCCCAAGACTATTGAATTCTGTTGAAGATAACCAGAGTTAGAAGTTCAGAAAAAATATAACATGACGTTTTCCCAGCACTTTATTTTTTTAGATGGGACAAAAAGTGTGGAACTGCATATATTTTCAGTCTCGTCACTAGTAAATACGGAGAAATTTCAATTTTCTCTTTACTCATAGCCGTTACGCCACCTAGCGGTTATTTCATCAACCTAAAAATATTTTCCAGCTATTTCTCAGGGTCACTTTTATAACATAATTATATTCTTTTCCAAGTTGTACCATCATTCGTTGCTGAGATATGGCCGACAGCCGTTCTTAGTTGTACATCGGAAGGCATTCCAAAATATTTCTTTGTCTTGATTTAAAGGTGTTTAGTACACGAAAATGCGAGCATTGGCAGTATCAATATGGATTTTCGTCAACCTAGTTTTCTTTGGAATGTGTGGGTACATGTACCTGCTTTGGTCTCAGTACTGGATGTTCATGGATCGCCAAACAGGAACTTCGACGTCAACTTATGATCAGCAGATATACTTCTATAACAGGGGCTACTTGCCCAATAGTAGGTGAGTTTTTATTATACGATCTCAAAAAAATACGATCTATATCATTTCACCTACGGCCACTATATATAGAAAGTAGAGGCAAGAACACACGAGATAAGCCTCAGTAAGTAGCTCTTTACGCACAGTAAGCACATCGCACAGTTTTCGTTTATTCCGCCAGTAAAGGTATGTCATGATCGCGTTATCGCCGTCAACAGCGGATGACATAACTGTCAAGAATCGCAATCAAGACTGTTTGTCCAAACTTTTTTGATGTACTATATAGCAGTAGGCAAAGTATAGTAGGTAATGCGTGTTGCAAAGCATTCGTGCGTGATATGCGTCTTATAACACATATTACGTCGTGATATACTATTACGTTACTAATGTCTGATATGGTATTCTGAGATACTGATGGAGAATATATATGGTGCCATATTCAAAGTTTATGGTGAAATAGAGTATTATAATAATTTCAGATTCTGGCGAATTGCGGTTTTGGTAATTTATGTTGATGATGTATCTGAATTTTTTGATGCCTCAAAATAATTATTAGCAAAAATAGTTATTTTTGTGTTTAGAGCGCAAAGTAATATTGATGCCGCTCGACAATGTGAGCGGCAATAACACTTTTGTGCCCTAAATACACACAAGATTTTCACTATGAACTCAATTTTTAAATAAGAAGGAATGAAAATAATAACAAATTACTGAAACCTACTGTCCTACTCGAGATTGAACTTGGACCAGCCATTTGGTATATGCTGCGCTTCAGGACCCTGTGATTCCTTCTATATAGTACAGGTGGCGTTAAACCCGTGTACCACACCTGTGCCCACGGGAGATTAGAAATAGCTTTTTGTATTTATTTAAATTTTCATTCCACTCTGAGCATTGTGGCTTTTCCGTAGTTGCTATTTTGCAGTGTTCCACCTACCCTAGCAAGGGAGTCAGGTTTTTTGAAACAACCTTCATATATCACCTGTTTCGCTCTTCATTCTCATTCAAAGTATTTGTTACAGCGTGAATGTTCCAGAGGTGAAATCTAGAAAGAAACATTCTGCAGTGATCATCAAAGAAAATGCCACCTTCACTGTTGTGAAAAATAGCAAACCACGGTTTCCAAATCTACAGCCAAAAGATTTCGAATTAGATTCTGAAAGGTTTTCTTGTTTGAAAAACGACAGCTACAGGGAATGTGATAAAAAAACTTCCGAGTTCAAAGAAAACATACTGAAAGAACTCAGAAAGGTTTTCACTGATGAGAGCAATATCTTGAGGACAGGCAAGGAAAATCCATATAACGTGAACTATAGAGGCAGTAGAGGAAATTTCATGGAAAAATCTCCCAAGGAACTTTTATGCCTACTGAAAGAAACTTCCCTCAAAACTCTGAGGAGAAGCGATGTCGGTAATCATCCCTTGAGAGATTTTATACCAAAACGAGCTCTATTTGAGAACAAACGCTTCAACAGCTGCGCAATTATTGCCAGTGCTGGATCACTGAAAAACTCGAATCTTGGATCATTTATCGGTAAGCAGAAAACATACAAAGAATTGTACCCTTGTTTATTTCTATACAATGGTAGGTATACTACGATTCTGGCAGAAGCAACTAGTCATTATGGGATTTTTTTGCAACCTTCAATGTTGTGGTTCGCTTTGACACCCTTTTCAAGTATTGTCCTTTTTGAAGTTGTTCTGTTGTGTGTTATAGTCTAGAAATGCACTTACTTCCGTATGCTGCAGTGACAGGCCTACCATCTACCTCTAGGTGGCATAGCATCATAGGGCGTCAATACAAACGATGTCAAATCAAAGAACTTCATCGTTTCATCTTTACGTTCTGAAACGAATGCAACTTTGTATTTATAATACGACTCTAGATTGTTTTGTCATCACATGATTTATCAACCAGATTTTTTGAAGCCATCCCCGGATGCAAAAATGTTTTCTTTCTATTGCGATGTTGTTGCTATATAATTGTCTATTCTGTAGGACAATATGGTTTTAGCAAATTTCGATACACAGTGCATACAACAATTGTTATTTCTGGTGATACCATACCTAAATGTGATTTTGCACACTCCACCTACCAATATGCGCCACTACTGTTTCTGAAGGTCAGGTTGCCCTGCTTGTCAATAAAATCTCTAGGGGTTATCAAGTCAATTTGAGTCAACGTAAACTAAATCATTTCAGATTCTCATGATTTGGTAATGCGTTTCAACAATGCTCCGACCAAAGGATTCGAAGTGGACGTGGGTCGAAAAACAACCATCCGGCTGCTCAACTCGCAAGTGGTGACAAAGCCTCAGTTCAATTTCCTCACGTCGACCATGTACAAGAACGTGACTTTAGTCATGTGGGATCCGAGCAATTACACGTCGTTCATTAGCGATTGGCTGGATCATCCAGAGTTCAATTTATTTATGAACTACATGGCTTTTAGGAAGAACGACCAAAAGTCCAGGGCGTTTCTGATGAATCCGCAGACTATTTGGAACGTGTGGGATTTCCTGCAGGATAATTCGCCTAGTAGGTTGAGACGGAATCCTCCTTCTTCAGGATTCTTGGGTGAGTACCTAACTATACTCCACTAGCACCCATATCCGAAAAAATAGTTTTCACAAACGAAGAAAACATAGATTCAAGAAAATTTCGATTTCAAAACTTTCAGAAATTGTATTAGTATAGTAGGTGATTCTATGTATTGTTATGACGGATTAGTGTGGATAGGTCGTTACAAGTTGCTGGGAAAAACTATTTCCGAGAATAGATTTAACAGTTTTTTTTACAAATAACAGGAAGGTCCATTTATTGCTTTTATCTACTCACTGAATCAAGAATAGGCGTTTGCTCCCTCATTTGAGGAAACAAATATTAACTCCCGTGGGAGGTAAAATAAATTGGCTTCAGCATGCATCCTTTGGCGTCGATATATATAAAATTTTTGCATTCCAAGAAATCAGTATCTTTATCACTATTGTAAAACAAATAATAATATCCTCTTTGAATTCCAATGATATCATGCTTCTTCATATTCCGAACGTACTTATTGTTATCAAAACTTTCAATTGCAGTCAAGAGTGTCACATTGACTTTTGTACAAATGCCATCAACTGTCCATGGCATACTTTACCTTTGTAATGCACAATGATGGATCGAGAGATAGACCGCCTCAAGCACAACACAAAAAGAATGATGCTTTAAAAAATGCGTTCGTTGATAAAATCATATACATATCGTGGGAGCAAAGGTACATTTTCTTCCATGTGCTAAATACGTGTCGTGCATCGAACTCCACACGCGGAAGGAAATGGATACCTTTCCTCCCTTGATATATAAATAGCTATTGTGTGGCGAAACTAGTGTGGTTTGAAGTGGTATCAGTCATCTACCTGAATAAGAATCGGGGCTACGCATTCGTTGTACATTCCTGTATTCTGTGTTTATTCCAGACTTGCTCGATGAACACAAAGACTCAATACAACCTTTAGCATTTGAAATAATGATATAATTAGGAAATCTAAATCTCAAGAATAAGAGAGTTTAGGTGAATTTCTTGAATCGATTACCAGCTGGTGCAAGGCAGTCTGTTTCAGCTTTGACAAGCCTCATCAGTTGCACTAGGCCAGTTGACAATCGATTCACAAAAGGATACTACAAAGAGCCATCTAGTGGCAAAAGTGCAAAGGTGTATAAGTAGATTGTTTAAACAACCATACCTTGCGAGTACGTCGAATATATATACCCCTACGTCCATATTACAGATAGGCAAAAATGCCACAATTCTGCAGACTATCGCAACACCGGAATTCTTACAGTGGTTTAATGTCCCACTGACAAATGGTGGGGAAACTGAAATCTCAAGACTAAGAGAGATATGGGACAAGTATGTGACACGCATACCCAGGATATCTCATTCGCGTCTTTATACTGCGGGAAATACATCCTTTTGTTCTCAGGGATGTTGCTCACCCTGGACTGTAGTTACATTTTTTAATGCTCACGTGATCAGTCAATTGTGGCGTAAATGACCAAGATTATTGAAATTTTCCACAGGGCTCAAACTGCTACTTCCATTTTGCAACTTCGTAGATGTTGTGGAGTATGTACCATCTGTGAGGGTGACAAGACGATGCCATTACTACGATCCTGAAGATAATCCGTCCTGCACCTTTGGAGTATGGCACCCTCTAGCTGCAGAAAAGTTATTGACTTTCTTCATCAATTACGCCTCAGACAATGAGGTGTTCCAGAAAGGTTATGTGAGAATTGCCGGTTTCAAGAATATGGATTGTTCATGAACGTCAAGCTATAAGGATTGAGAAGTGGATAAAATTAAACAAGGGACAAGATACTTGAAATCTAGAGTAACTGGATGGTATTAGTTAGAAAAGAGTGAGTAGTGAATTTCAATGTATGTACTTACCTTGAAAACTTTGCTCGTCTTCAAATTAATTTTCCTTCCAGGCCGATCCATATATTCCTTCCATAAAGGAATGATTGATATTTCCTTTGGGAAACTAAAGTGAATGAGATCACCATTACCTTCAGAGTTCCCGCAATTCATCACACAGCAGGACATTTTCATTCATGCTTTTTTCTCAATAGTTTACGAAATTATATTTCAATCCGGACGTTCATAAAATGTATTGTTGAGTTCAAACAATTTTGAATGAAAAAGCGCGGAACGCCTATGATGCTGTTGTCACAATGCAAGGTGTGTATCTTGATACATCCAAACTTTCAAAATCACTAACAGTTGTCATTTCTGTGTCCGAACTCTTATCTAACTAATACCATCCAGCGACTCTAGAAATACCTATAAAATTAGAAGATGAGATATTGATACAGGCAAACAATGATGCTTGTTTGATCTGCTGTTTCCTCGATTTTGGTTTTTGGTGAATGTTTGCTTAATTTGGAGAGGTGAATCGTTACCACCGATACAACAAGGCCAGCAGACTCTGACGTAAACAGCTCGTGACGTCACCAAGAGAGGCCAGTGTTTTATTTTATCGCTTGTCGACTAAGCGTCAGTTCGTGTTAATTCATCAGTGATTCACGTATGTAGAGGAAAAATAGAAAAGCTTTGATTGTGCAGTTAGTTTTGTATTCGTATATTATAGTCAACAAAATCATCTCTGAATTCGAGGAAATTTTCTTGAATGTTCATAATAAACGGGCATTTTAAATTCTCATACTCAAATTTATTTCTGAAAACGGTCATTTGCCTCGTGGCAATGGATGCAGAATTCATTCCAATGATCAAATTGCAACATGAACTACAAACACTCTACTTGAGAAGGTAAAACTGCATTTATCATGATATTTATCATGAAGATATTTGGCTAAAAAGTTCCAAATTTCACCTTCTTTTTCACCTGTCTTCTGGATGGCATTTAGAACAAATTTCCCTTCTTATTTTCATCATATTGGACAATTTATATATAATTCAACTATAAATATGATTTTCTTGAAATTAATCCATATTTAGTGAAAAGAAGGAAGAATATCATTCAAAATAATGGCGTGTGTAATGTCATTCGAAAGCAATCTATTCACATTTGACATCTCGTATTTCGATTGATTATTGATCAAATGGTCGTCATCTGGAATGCTTGTTCACTAAATATGAAAAACTCGCCATAAAAATCATATTTCCTGTTGAATTTTCTATATAGAAATGTGCCATCGAAGGACAAAATGAGAGCAAGTAGCTTCAAATGCCCCCAACACAAGAGGAGAAAGAAGGCGAAATTTCGAACTTTTTCTTGAAATATCTCAATAAATAGTGGTTTGTTCACATTTTCATTATAAAATTCGGTTTATCAAACAAAAATACGTGAGTACCGAAAAAAATTTTCAAAAAAAAACCATCGCATGATCAATGCAGTTTTATCCTTAAAAATCACGGTTTCAAGTGTAACGATCCACTTGGGTGAAAAATCCAACAACAGAAAATTGAAAACACTCACTGGTTATTTTTTCAGGTGATAGGAATTCTCCAAGATGAATATAGTTAATTGTAACAAACGGCATGTCAATCAAAATAAAATACATTTTCCACAATTTTCTTTCGATCAATCTCAAAGTTTATGTTCTGCGGGCCCTGTATAAGTAGGTGTGAAGTTTACCTTCACCACAATTTTTGCCAATATATTTAATTCGAATGGGTTGCTGCAGGTGGATATTTGTGTTTTATCCTGGTTTTTGCTTTAAAACTTCGTTTTTCCATAATAAAATCGAATGGGGTGCGAAGAAGGGCTCAGTTGACGACTGGCATCCTTTTTTAACCGGAAGCCCTTCAAAAAACAGCAAAATCGGCTCAATGATGATCTAAAACTAAAATCGAAATACGCGGTCGCCTTAATAGCGCTATAAGCGCTTGTCGTTTCGAGCCGCTGGTTAGGCCTCACTAAGTGACGTCACCCACGGAGCATGCAGGCCTTGTTGTATCGGTGGTAACGGGTGAATATGCATAGTGGGCACCCGGCATCCAAATGTCACATGAACGTAGGAGATGGATTCTGTTCAACGTATCTGCATATTTCCACAAAATTCGGAAAAAAGAGTGTGAGTATGAGAAACATAGATATATCTGAAATATGAAGGATAAATATCGTTATGACTTATGTATCAATTTGGGAACTGTCATTCACAGGTGTTTTCACTATGCCGTGTTCTCCATATACGTATTAATAATCAATACGGATAATCTCTATCTGTTTCCATAGCGGAACATGAAGCCGATTTTTGAAGACAAATGAATATCCATAAGGAAAAGTTTTGGAACGATCAGACACATACTGCTTTGATTGAAAGGCTAGTAAACGTCATTGTCCACCGAAACGCATGTCTTTGATGACTACTATAATAGCGCATGGCGCATGCGTATCATGCCACCAAATCCTTATGGATATTCATTTGTTTCATATTTTTGGCTTCATCCTGGCACCCGTTATGATTCGTATTGTTTATTAATACGTATATGGTGTTCTCCCCTATACCTATGAAATATAATGAACTATCACAGTATAGGAAATTATGTATATGCACTAAGTAGTCTGTTTGTAAATAAATACGAATTGGGTAAGTTACGGCCTACATGCATGCATATGTACCTAGTCCAGTCATTGAATAGCATGAATTGAAGTTGTACATGTAATCACTTTACTGGAGGTGTATTCACATTGTGATCTTAATAGTTCTAGAATATTGCCTGAATGCCTGATTCACATGTACCTCTAGAACATATTATGAAAAATATATTGCTTCAATTTCACTTTAGGTATAGTATTATTTTATTCTGAAACATATATAGTAGGTACCAATTAAGCTCCAACTTATTCTGTTCCATCAAGAGGATCCCTCTTCTTCATTCGCGATAGAAAATAACAGGTCGCCCCTCCAGACGGCAACACTTCGGATCGGTTTGTTTTGATGAAATTACCAATAAGCACAAACAAAAAACAGATGTGAACCAATGAAAACTAAGTAAACAGGCCACTTTGACAGCTTTCAAGAGCTCCGATAGGTGGCGTACGCTTATTTTTTCTGCCATAGTCTCGTTCTAATTTTGTTTTGCTTTTTGACCTCCTGAAAAGTTCCACAGATTCCACAGATTTGTTCTGACTGGATACTGGATACCCAAATCCGTGCTGGAGCTCGTCTCTTTAAAATCTCTTCCCCAACTTCCCCTTATTACTCCCTTAGATATCTGAGTACATTTATTTTAGTACTTCTCAATGTCAATGATATCAGTCCCATCCAAGTCATCGAATCGAATTTTTGTACGCCACTATCTTTCCAAATCGACGAAAATGAATGTTTATAGCTTCAGCCTTCAACTATTGAATTCATATAGATCCAATGCGTATTAAATATTCTCAACAGATGAAATAATAATAACAGCGCCAGTCCCACCTTTTCTTCAATTCCAGTATTATCTATTCTACAAATATCATAGGTACAATTTATGAAATGTCATCACTTTCATTTGGGACAGAAAAAAATGCAACTTCAATATTATATTATATTCTTGTATCGCATCATATGTATATAAAGATTACTTAATGGTTGCAATAATAACATTCGAAGAAAGATTACAGAATATTATCGTTCCTGAAGAAAACTGTCCCAGTGAAGGAGACTTTTCCTAGATCACTTTTCCTCTTCAATTTCATCTGAAGATAGAAAAGGTACACGCAGTACATGCAATATGTTGTGAAACCTACAAATCAATATATTCGTATATCATGAATTGAGGTTCAGAATGATTTAGATTTGAACGAATTGGTATATATCCTACTTACAAGAGTAGATACATATAAAGTAAAAGGTTCTTCCAACTGGCATGAATATTATCGTATGTGCCAAAAAGGTCACTGAAGAGGAAACATGTAACACTTCATATATCAAAATTAGTGTAGGTTGTTCCTGAAAGATATAAAAAAATATTTGAAGCAAAACAAATCGGCTAGAATTATTACCTTTATTCAAGGGATACCAAACGAAATAAAAATTTGATAATGGGGAGGTATTTTGCGAGTCAAACAAAGTCAATTTTGATCCGAATGAAACATGTTATTTCTTATATATACATAGAATTGTTGCAATTTTTTGCCGACCAAGACATATTCGAAAACATTTCCGCGGGGACGCCTATTCAATGTATAGTGGGTACACCTACATGTAGGGATTCCACACTACCAAGAAGGAATTGATCCTTCGTATGGTGTCCATGAAAGATTTTGAGCACCTCCAAAATAAAAATAAAAATTAGAGGTTTTTGAATCCATTTCGCGAGCTATTTCGATGTCAGACGAGCCCGGAAAGGAGGTGGAGTGTCTAGTAGGTACACCTACATGTAGGGATTCCACACTACCAAAAAAGAAATGGTTCTTCGTATTGTGTCCACAAATGATTTTGACCACCTCCGCAAAAAAAAGTTTTGGAGGTTTTTGAATCCATTTCGATATCAGACGAGCCCCGGAAGAAGGTGGAGTGTCTAGTGAGTACACCTAAATGTAGGGATTCCACACTACCAAGAAGGACATGGTCTTTCGTATGGTGTCAATGGAATATTTTGACCACCTCCACAAAAAAAAGTTTTTGAGGTTTTTGAATCCATTTTGCGAGCCATTTCGATATCAGACGAGCCTTGAAAGGAGGTGAAGTGTCTACTGGGTACACCTACATGTAGGTATTCCACACTACCAAGAAGGAAATGGTCTTTCGTATGGTGTCCATGAAAGAGTTTGACCACCTCCGAAAAAAAAAAAGTTTTGGAGGTTTTCGAATCCATTTTGCGAGCCATTTCGATATCAAATGAGCCTTGAAAGGAGATGGAGTGTCTAGTGGGTACACCTACATGTAGGGTTTCCATACTACCAAGAAGGAAATGGTCCTTCGTATGGTGTCCGTGAAAGATTTTGACCACCTAAGAAATAAAAAGTTTTGGAGGTTTTTGAATCCATCTCGCGAGCCATTTCGATATCAGACGAGCCTTGAAAGGAGATGAAGTATCTGATGGGTACATCTACATGTAGGGATTCCACACTATCAAGAAGGAAATGATCCTTCGTATGGTGTCCATTGAAGATTTTGACCACCTCCAGAAAAAAGTTTTGGAGATTTTCGAATCCATTTCGCGAGCCATTTCGATATCAGGAGATGAAGTATCTAATGGGTACATCTACATGTAGGGTTTCCACACCACCAAGAAGGAAATGATCATTCGTATGGTGTCCATAAAACATTTTGTCCACCTTCGAAAAAAAAAGTTCTGGAGGTTTTTGAATCCATTTCGCGAGCCATTTCGATATCAGACGAGCCTTGAAAGGAGATGAAGTATCTTATGGGTACACCTACATAAAGGGATTCCACACTACCAAGAAGGAAATGGTCCTCCGTATGGTGTCCATAAAATATTTTGACCACCTCCGAAAAAAAAAGTTTTGGAGGTTTTTGAATCCGTTTCGCGAGCCATCTCGATACCTGACGAGCCTCGGAAGGAGGTGGAGTGCACCTA